GGTTTGTAAGAAGTTCGGATTTGATCCTTTTCCCTAACGTTCGTTAAAAAGATTCTGTTAAATGAGAACTAATAAAAAACGACAACAACAAAAATCATATAAATCGATTTTGATTAGGCAAAAGACAAAACAGTTCGATAAAAAAACATAGATACCCTTGTTTAACGGATTATTTTAACGACAGTTAGATGGAGATTAAATTTAGACGTTTTCCAAACCATAATAACTATCTTGGAAAACTATAAGGACTAAAAATGTATTTTCGATAAAACATAGACACCAAATTTGTAGTTTAGTCATTGTTTTATTAAGGCCCCCACATGGAAACGTTAATGAATTTTTTATTAAACAAATATTGTTTGTTGACTTAAAAAAATTAATAGTCCAATATCTTATTGGATCAATAATTGAGTCATGGTTGTAAAACGTTACTTGGGTAAGTGTCGTTTACCAAATGCTTACTCGGATAATTGAACACCAAGTTATATTATTTTACCGGATGAATATGGTAAGTACCAAAAATCTTACACAATAAGAGCGAGATAAGAACCAAGTGTCTTACCTGGTAAGTGAGGGTGACGACTCTTACCATGATAAGCGCTTACTGGGTACATTGTTGCATATGATACCGTTTTGGTAGACTAAAATCTTACCCGGTAAGTAAATGATAGTGTTAAACTTTACCGGTAAGCGCTTACCGGTAAGTATTTGGTAAACGGCCCCTAAGTGTTTGTAGAATAAAGTCATTATATTTAAACACTGTTTGGTTGGTTTTTTAATTAGGTTTTGTATGTGTAAAGTTGTCTCTGTAAATTGATCTGTTTGTATAGATTGAAAAAGTTTTTTGTTTGGGATGATTTCTTAATGGATGGAATGAGCATTTTTTTGAATTGGTTGGGGGCATGTTCCGAAAAAACTTGTTTTTCTGCATAAAGCTTCTCCCTAGAAACTTACAAAAAAAATCATTTTTTATATCATTAAACCATTTCCAAACAGTCATGTATAGCTGAGCGAACAAGTTGTGAATCTCATTAAACTGCTAGAAAATAAATCTTTATTTATCTTATCGGGTAACATTCTTGATCATTAAAATGATTTGTTGTTAAATTTTTCTTACCATCAAGTGCTTATCGGGTAAGATTGTATGTCCTTGTTATACTTCTTACCGAGTAATATTTTAGGTCTTTGTCATATTCATCCAGTAAAATAAGTGATACATGTTAAATACTTACCTAGTAAGAATTTGGTAAACAACCCACCAATAATATGCAATATTATGTAAATACTAATGACATGGATATTAAAATGGGACCGATTGGGATCGGTTTGGGACCGGCGGGTTGAGACCGGTTACATTTTTCGTCAGAGAAAAGATCCGACCCGATTTTTCAAAAATATTATCGTTTTATTAACGATACCCAATAGCCATATGACCGTTTTTCCTCCATTTTTTGACTGTTTTTTTATCTCATTTATTTTCTATTCACTATATATAGTCATATAATGTATGGGGAAGATATCAACTCAAAAACGGTCACAATTTTTGCTATAATTCATGATTTTGACTCGTATTCTCGTAAAAACGTATTTCTTAAGTGTATTTAATTGACTCAATTGCATATATTTCAAGTGTGTTAGAATAACACTTTTGTATTTGTTTAAAAGAAATTGAAAAAAATAAATAAAAAATCGAATTTTAAAAAAAATACATAGGAACGGTTTGAACCCAGCCTGGGATCGGGACCGGTTCTCATAACCGGTTACAAAGTATCTTTATCGGGCCTTTGATTTTTGGTCGGGATCAAGACCGATTACACATGGACCGGTTACGATAATAGTGTTTGGGACTAAAACCGATTTTGACTCGATCCGAAATTTTTGACCATCTTTAATTCATCATATCATGACGAATCCTCATACCAACCCAAATAAGGCTTGAAAGCCCATTGGGCTCGTCTTTCAACATTGGTTCTTTAACACAAAATCAATTTACAACAGTTTAACAAATTTAATAGGAATAAGAGCTTATTCGATCAATTATATATGACTGTTTGATGTTGGTTTAATAATATAAAAAATAACGTATGTGGTAAGCTTCTAGGAAGAGTTTCATATAAAAAGTCAAGTTTTTTTTTTCAAAACCTACCTCACCTAGTTAAAAAACAGACTTATTTCATCTATGAAAAACTCTCTCAAACAAAAAACTTTTTTTCAATCTATACAAGCAGATTAATCAGGGCCGTCCCTTAGTATGTTAAATGTGAGATTTTGAACAGGGCCCTCGAAATTTTGGAGCCGAAATTTACATGTGATCAGAGTCTTTTATCGAACTGTATAAAGTTATAGCCGAAATTATTAAGTTCAAACCATTAATTGTTTTGTTTTATATTCAAATCATTGATGGTTTAGGTTTAGTTTCAGTTTCAGTTTCAGATTGTTAATCGTTTTAAGTTTAGCCCATTTTTGTTGTTAACATATATTCTTTTTTTATCTCATTTATGCAATGTAATCAAAAGTTTTAGATGTAGCAGAACCTCCAAAAAGATTGGAACGTCTTTGAGATTAATTCACACAGATAGTTTTATATATACATGACCTGATGAATTGATTTGGTAACAAAAAGTGCAAAAATGAGGTTCTTATAAGAACCTCCGTTAGAGATGCTCTTAAAACTCTTCAATAGTAGTTCTTGTAATAACTTTTTTTTGCGAGTCCCATTATTTTTTCAACATCAATAATATATACATATTAATAATTATTAGTTCTCAAAGTTATCACAATTTAATGGGTTCTCAAAAGAAAGTCGTTATATATAAGGTTGGGTTCCAGTGAGAAATAAAGTTATGGTAAGAAACATAATCATAAGGGTCGGTTTGCTTTTTTAATATTATCTTTTAATACCTCTGGAGTCTGAGAAGCGTAAGTTATGGTGAGAAGCGTTTGTTTTATTTTTAGAATAAAAGCTTAAAAGCTTTAAATGTCCTCTGAAATTTTAAGTGGTAAACGTATCCCTTAATACATCCTAATCCTAATCTGTCTCTATCAAAATGGTTCATATTTTGAGGGTTGGAAAAGATTTATTAGCAAAAACTATTTATCTTTGATATTTTTATAAATAAAAAACACTATGTATCTTTCATATATTTGCACTAGTTTGACTGATTCAAAATTTAGAATTCAGACGTAAAAACAAACAATCTTACTGATCCAAATTTCAGACTTCAGGACCACCTCTTATAAATCAGAAATGAAATTAGACTTCAGACGTCAGCACATTTTAAAAACAAACGTCACCTTACAAAAATTATATATTTTAATTTAGATTTATTTTGATTCATTATATAATTCGTCTTGTATCTAACTATAATTTGTCAAATTTTACATCTAACCATATATTATATAAAGGGTTTTCTAAATTTAATATAACAATCTCGCTATGAATCTTGTAAATAAAATTATCTAAAGGAATTATGCATTGAATTGCGTTTATTAAGAGGTTGTTTATTTACATTTTAATGGTTTCATTAAGAGACAGCCTCTGAATCTTTAATAGGTGAATCTTGTTTGACAACAAAAAAGTTTGTCTCTTAATGGTTCTAAAACCTCTGAATAATTTTGTATCTTGTGTCTCCCAACCATTAAACGCCCTAATTTTATTGTAAGCAATTATATTTCATTTTGCACTAGATCATGAGAGTTTCTTAATCATTATAATTATTTGATCATTCTGTATCCAACCATTCCATAACCGTCAAACAGCCCCTAAGAACTTTGAGATTCTTCATCATTGGTTATATGATATCCATGCAAGCAATTCTCTTGGGACGGAATATGTTTGTTGATTATGTGGATATCTTCAGGGTTGTTTGACAGTTGATGAATGGTTCGGTGCAGAATGATTAATAGACTATCATGATATAATGCAAAATGAAATATAATTGTTTGATAATCATTTACAACGAAATTAGGGCGTTGAATGGTTAAGTGAAACCCAAGATACAAAATCATTCAGAGAGTTTTAGAACTATTAAAAGACAGATTTTTTTTTTTTGCTAAACAAAATTCATCTCTTGACGATTCAGATGCTGCCTATTAATGAAACTATTAAAAGGTAAACAAACAACCACTTTGTGTTTGTGGACACATGTCAGCCGGCGTGTTCATTTTATTAGAACTTTAAACATTCTTGGTTCGAAAACTCCAATAACGACATGCTTGCACTTTAACTAAAAACGGTTCTCAACTTAACCGGTCTTCATTAACGTTCGCAAACGCATAGACCAATTTTTTAAAGATTTAAACTACAAAGGCCAAAACAGAAAGGAAATACAAACTATTGTGACCATCAATGTAATAAATGAACTACATGGACAATGAAATTTCTAACGAGGGACCAAAAATGTAATTTACTCATAAATTCAATATTTTGAGTAAGTTACGATTTTCATCCATGTGGTTGTTAATAATTTTTCATTTTTGGTCCTTATAGTTAGAAAATTGCGATTTTAATCTATATGGTTTGCATTGTTTTTTGTTATTTTCGTTGTTGAATTGAATTTATACCTTTAAATACAAGGGATCAAAACAGTAAAAAGTTGTAAATTATAAGAACGAAAATAACAATGAATCACATGATATTCTAACAATCCACTAAAAACGTAGGGGTTGTTTGTTTAGTTCTTAATAGTTTCATTAAGAGACAACATCTGAATCGTTAAGAAGTGAATCTTGTTTGGCACAAAAAAAGTTTGCGTCTTAATAATTCTAAAACCCTCTCAATGATTTTGTATCATGGATCTCCCTTAACCATTAAGAGCCCTAATTTCATTGTATACAATTACCAAACATTATGAGAGTCTCTTAATCATTATGACCACTTAATCATTTTGCACCAAACCATTCAACAATTGCCAAACAGCCCCGTAATTTAATTTAAAAAAAATAATATTAATTAAAAATTGAAGGTTTAAACCTAACGTAAATGAACTCATGACACGCCATCGACACAACAAGATATTTACATTTTCGCATTTATAAATTGACACATATACCCTCTTCCTTCTCCTCTTAACCCCACCATCCTATACCCATTATCGTCGTTTCACATCACACACGTTCCATACTTTCATCTTTGTACTCTTCCCTCCCACCTTATAAAAAAACCTCCTAAAACACCTACCATTCGCAAAATTTCAACATCAATTCGCAAAATCAGAAATTCGTTTGGGGATTGAAATCATGAGGACAAGCAATCATCTGATCGGTATGTTAAACTTCCTCACCTTCTTGTTATCAGTTCCAATTCTCGGTGGCGGAATTTGGCTGAGTACGCGAGCAAACAACACCGATTGTATGAGTTTCCTTCAGTGGCCGTTGATAGTCATCGGCGTCGCAATCATGGTGGTTTCACTCGCCGGATTCGCCGGCGCGTGTTACCGGAATACTTTCCTCATGTATCTTTACCTTTGGGCCATGTTCTTCATCATTGCTGTGCTTATCGGATTCGTGATATTCGCGTATGTGGTAACAGACAAAGGTTCAGGTCGAAGTGTACCGAATCGGGCTTATAGTGATTACTACTTACCGGATTATTCGGGTTGGTTGAAGGATCGGGTCGCCAGTGATAGTTATTGGCAGAAGATCAGTTCATGTGTTCGTGATTCGAAGGCGTGTAGGAAAACGGGTCGGCTTGTTGGTGGGTTTCCGGAGTCTTCCGACATGTATTTCCAGCGCAAGCTCAATCCTATCGAGGTTAGTAGCTTTATATACCCCTCTCTCTCTATATATATATATATAGATGTATGTGCACACCAATTTATATCAAGACGGTGTTTGTGATTGTTTGTAAAAACAACTTATTGATTTATTGTGGTGTGACATTGATAATAAGTATTTTTGAGTGTTTTGGATAAACAACTTATACCGGTGTTAAACCGGTAATAAAGAGTTTTTAATAAAGTTAAATCATTCTAACTTATAATAAGTTGACAACCATTTTTGTAAAAAAAAATATAAGGTTGTTTTAAATAAGCAATCTCAAACACCCTCTAAAATCAAGTAAAATTATAAATTATAAATATAGAATATAAGTTTTAACCTTAATAAGTGGTTGTTTGTTTACCTCATAATGGTTTCATTAAGAGGCAACTTCTGAATCTTTAAGAGGTAAATCGTGTTTGGCAAAAAAAAGTTTGTTTCTTAATGGTTCTAAAACCCTCTGAATGATTTTGTATCTTGGATCTAGGCGTGCTCACGGCCCGGGTTGATCGGTTTGGAGCCGTTTTAACAATTCAACTCAATGTTGGCGGTTTGAAAATTTTCAACCCAACCCAAACAAAAGTTCAACCCAACCCAACCTGTTCGGGTTGATCGGGCTGTGTTTAAACAATGTAAAATCACATAAAAATAAAGAAAACTTTCATTTAAAATACGACCGACCATTCAAGATAATATGCAAGTTCATCAAATATTTAGATATTAYAATAAAAATGTTTAARCCAAATGATAATACATCAATCAACAACAATAGTTTTAGACGTTTCCAACCCCGATGCTTTCGCTTTTTTGACGTTGAGGTTGGTCATGTCATGATTGTCATCTATAATTCAAAGCTAAAGTTAAGGTCGGGTTCATCGGGTTGTCAGATTTTTTTGGGCCTGACCTGATTCCAACCTAATAAGGTCGGGTTGGCTAATTTTTTTATCGATCAAGCATCGGGTTACCTCGGGTTGAGTTTTTTTTAAAAAAAATTTGGGTTGGGTTGGTCGGGTTTTTGATCACCCCTACCTGGATCTCCCTTAACCATTAAGAGCCCTACCAAACAATTATATTTCATTTTGCACTATATTATGAGAGCCTCTTAGTTATTCTAAACACTTAATCATCTTGTACAAAACCATTCAGCAATTGTCAAACAACCCCTAAGTTATTCCTCACACAAATGAACATTGGAATTTACTTTTTACATTCTCAATGTATAATTTGACCTCATTCCGACATGATAGTATTACTCATATTAATAAGTATTTGACAAAATTAGTAGTAAAAGGTGTCACTATATGCACCTCTATAACCGTCGGAATACTGTCAATTTATGTATTAAAAATGTAACAAATAAGTCTTTATATTGATTTTTTATGAGGAGAAAATTAAAAGATAGGATGTATTTAAAATGTAAAAAACAAAGGTGACACCTGGATGGAGTCATACGTGTAATTCTCTATAAAAAGATATAAAATACTAAAAGTAATTCAGTTGTAAAAAAATATAAAAAAGGGTGGCGATTGTTTAAGCTCTTTTAATATAACCTAAATTAAATTATTATATTATATTATAAAATTAAAAAGTAAAGATTTAATTTTGATAAATAAAAAAAATGAGAAAATTCGTATCCAATATAAAATTATTGATGGGGTGCAGTTGGTAAATTTGCACATGTTTGGGTAACTTCGTGGTGGATGCTGTGGCCGGCAATCCACGCGTCGCTGGCTTCAGATTTTTCTCTAATTTCTTTTGTTTTTAGAAACAGACTGATTTTTGAATTATTTTTTTAATAAATTATATAATAGGTTTAGGATTATCTGGACTTCTGTAGCCTCATCCGCGCATGTCATGCAGGTTTAAAAGGTATACACGTGTCTAACAGAGAACACGTTACTGAGGTCGACGTTTTTTTTATTTAAAGCATTCACAACATGTTTTTCGAAATTTCTCTAAAATATAAAATTAAAATCTTCAAAAAAAATTACAGATTTATCAGATTATAACATTAAAATATTGTTTATTTCTAAATATTATTTTTAAAGTTTTCTATTTTTGATGTCAATTGTTAAATCATTTTTAGGATGTTCTTCATATTTGGAGAAAATATTTTTCTTTCTCTTACTTTCTTCATTTTATAGATAGTTTTGAGAAAGCTGTTTTAACAAAATATTGGCTCAAAATTCCCATTTTCTCCAATTTTGAGAAACTGTTAGAGATGTTTTAAAGAACCAAAATGTTATATATTTGTATGACATTTTTATTTAAGAACCTATAAAATTATGATAATCTTAAAAATTAATGCATTGTATGCTATGTTATATAATTTTTATTTTATCTACGATTCAAATTTAATATATTGATTAACATATGTTTGTTTATACTGTGAACATTCTCTTATTCATTTTGGAAGAGAAAAGAATATGCCTTAATTGTTTTTTCTACAAAAAGGTATATTTACAATAAAAGATGCAATTTTTTAAGAAGTTTATTGATATAATTATATAATAAATATTTTTTATTATACAAATTACTTCAAAAAATTTATTAAAGTTCAATATAATTTTTGAGTTTTATGCGATCATTATTATCTTTAGGGTTCACAAAATTACTTGAAGTTTTAAAATTAGACTCTCATGCTAAAGTATTTTGGAGTTAGTTTATCTAGCAATAAGGTTTAGGGGCTGTTTACTAAATTTTTTATTAAGTTCTGTATAAATAAAATTATCCGTCCGAATAAATTTGTCTGTCTGGATAAATGGGTGTTGCTGTTTACTTTTTTTTTACCCGAATCAACAGTCTGAATAACATAAATTACCGATTTACCCCCTAATATTAATTATTTGAACATCAAAACAAAAAAATCATAAAGAGGCCGAAGATGAGGTGTTTTATATGGGAAGGAGGCGGTGCTTTAAATAAGGGGTAGATGTGTCATTTTTGTGGCTGAATGAGGATAACACACTATTTCTATCTGTACGAATAAGCCGTAAGTAAACAATCCAAATGAGTTGTGCGAATAAGCCATATAGACCAATAAGCCTAATTAAGCCGCAAGTAAACAACCCTTAGACTTTTGGGATCCTTATTTGAGATCACCGGTTCAAGTTTTGTAAGATCATTTGAGATTTTTTTGGCTGATTGGTCTTTAAAACCTTAATTTGGAGTTAGTTTGAAATCTGAAGTCTGAATTTTGTATGAACTGATGTAAACACTTTTTTCACCTATATGGTTAATTTTTTAAAAAAAAAAACCTTTACATTTATGGGTCGACTAAATATCTTGGTTTATTGTAGTGTATGGACTTAAGGAGTTTGATGGTCAATTTATTATTGGTTGACTATCGTAGGACGGTGGACCCTATTACTTGTCGGCAGTTTCAGTTGCGTCTCTGTGTCTGATGGTGGGTTTGTGAAAAATATATTTCTTGAACTCCAAAATACAAAGTTGTAAATAATTCAGGGACTGTTTTTGTAACTCGCGCAAACTCTTCTTCTCCACGCATAGTAGTTGACTTTAGAAATTTAAGAAAAAGTTACTCAACTATCTCGACGGCTGCTTTGTAATTTCTCTAATAGATTTTTTATTTTAAATATTTTACCGTTATTTTTCTTTTATAAATTTATAATTCTAATACATTTTTTTAAATATATTATAAAATAATATTATAATTCAACCTTCATCGATGGGATGAATAAAAAACTCATTTTTGTCTTTTTATTTTAGATTTTTAGAGAATTCTTTATATTTTTTAAATCATACAATAATAAAAATATTTGTGTTCACCTCAAAATTGAAGCATTGAGATTTTATTTGGTTGCTTGGTCAAAGTTGCAAAGGAAAGATCTCGAATCTCAACTACTCCTTTAACTTACCTTTGCATCTTCTCTTCTTTCAAGCCTTTACTTCACCCCATCACCATATCATTTTAAAAATAAATGCTTTATGGGTTTTTAAAGTTTTCAGTATTCCAGATATCGGTTTGTAACAACGACGTGTTTAAAATTGGTCTGGATTTTATCCGTTTAGTTGGGTATCATGTTGTAATCATGTATACGAGTACTAGAAACAAAGTATCTCATTTGCAATCGGGATTTTTTTTGACCAAATGGTCATTCCAGGTTACCGATGAATTCCAGCATCTATAAAAGTCAAATGTTCAAAATTACCATAAGTTTAAATGCATGTGAGCATTTACCTTATATAAATATTAGAAGGGTACTCGTGCAATGCGTCGAGACATATTTCCATTTCAATATTTCGTTTTTATTTTTTTTATCCATGTCGATATAATACGATTTTACATGGTTTTGAAAAAGAGATGATGTTTCTATTTTTGAATAAAATATAAATTTGAAAATATCATATAAAATTTGTACAAAATATATCAATATTAGTATCAAATTAACTATTTAAAAGTTCTTGTTGGTGTATATTTTTTTAATTCAAAATTATAATTATAATATAATTTAATGTAACGAACTAACTTAATTTAGGTTTAATAATATATTTTTTATAAAGATAATAATTAAGTATTCTGTTAGAACTCAATAATAATCCTAATTATATTTTAGATTTTTTATATTTTAAAATGAGATGTTTATCCTCTATCTGATAATGTTTATCCGCAGTTAGTTACACGAATTCAAACATAGAGCTTTAATAAGTTGTACTTATACACAATTTATTTGTAATCTTGAATTTTAAGTAATATGTATCAACAAACAGTACTTCATGCATAAAATGTTGTTTTTAAGATTTTTTTGTCAAATGCTTTATAATATAGCATAGATTATATACTTCAGAAAAATCGGATTTCTTCTGATTAACTTGGATATCCAATCCGCTATGCGAGCTGACTAATCCCAGGGCGACCACCTGTTTTGCGGGTAGTCCGGAGTCATTGCATTTGAGGATTTTTATTCTTCTATGGACTTAAACTCGAGATCTCCAGACACTTTTAACCTTTGAAGTCTAAGCTCAAACCAATCAGTAAACAATATCATTTTAATAGGGAGGATATTGAATATTTTTTCTCTATTTGGTTCGTAGATGGGTCCCTTGTCTTTTAAAGTATAGTATAGATCCAACATAAGTTTTGGGTAAGAGAAGGAGGGTAGGCAGTCCATTTATTCATCATAAATTATTTGACAATTAGGTGATAAAATTTCAAAATGTGTAATATGAGACTTTTTTGGCATCTTTTGGGGGTCATACAACAAGCAATAATTGTGTATTTATAATCGTAGAAGTTTACGTGGTCTACAGTTCAACGTTGTATCACGATTAAGTTACTATGATGAAATTTTACGACTAAACGAGTTTTATACTTATGAAATAAGCTGTATATGACGAAGTTGAACAACTTAATAGTAGACCAGATCCTATTATTGGTCATTTTATATGAAAATTACAGACGCTAGACACTTATTGTACATGTCTATCATATACATCAGTATTATTATTAAACTTATCGTCTTTTATCATATAATGTGTTTGAACTTTGAATGAATGCGTCATTTTATTCGAATTGTGTAGATGGGTGTGGACTTTGATCATTTTAACATAAGGTGTCCAACGTTTTACTGTTTTCAGTTACGATCCCTCAAGGCTTAGAGCATCACCAACATATATGCTTTATTTTTCTCTGTATTCTTCAAAATTTGGAGAGTTTTTTCATGTTCTCGTTTATTTAGAGAAGAGTTTTGTGCATCTGTTGGAACAGTTTTTTTTTTTTTTAAATCTTTCAAAATTTTTAAAATAACATAATTGTCAGAGATGTTCTAATTAATTAATTTAATCACTATATTTTGAGAAGATCCCATCAAGATCCATTATGACTATAGACCCACCCTTGCCTAGTAGTTGTCAATTATTAATGCAAATTATCGAAGTGGAAATCAATTTTTGATTTCAGACATGACTTTTGCTTTGAAATTTGCTTTATTAAAAAACGGCGTGCGGCGAAACTAACATTTTTGTTGGACAAGAATACATTTAAGTTGGATTAAAGGCTCGTAAAATCGTTCGATGTGTTTTTTTCTTCGTCAAATTTCATCATTTCGAGACATTTTAAAAAAAAAATTTGTTGGTTTCGAGAGACTTTTTCAGTTTTTCGGTTAATTTCGAAGGATTTCCCCCCTTTTTCCTATTGCTGTTTATTGTATTTTTTAATAGTGGAGCATCGTTCAAAAATTACGTTTGCACCTTTTATACCCCAAAAAGAAAATTTACTTGCAAAAATCGGTTGAACGGATTCTTCTAGGACCTTCATAGGTCCGCCCCTGAAGATTCCTAAGGGTATAGATGGAAATTTTTCTTAAGTCAAACTAAATGGTGGTTATATATGATCGTAAATATTTCCAATCGAAGATTCTATAAAATAATATGTAGAGTTTCAGTATGAACGATTTTCATGAAGTGGAATATATTATTTCGTTCTTATTATGTTTATCTAATTTTTTTGTTTGCTGATTTGTTACAGTCAGGATGTTGCAAACCACCAACTGAATGTGGGTTTTCGTATGTGAACGAGACTACATGGAACCCAATTAACACAGCCTTGGCGGTGAACAACCGTGATTGCCTCAGATGGAGCAACGACCAAGAGCAGTTGTGCTACGCCTGTAACTCGTGCAAAGCCGGTGTGTTGGCTGGCGTCAAGAAAAGTTGGAGGAAGGTATCGATTATCAACATCGTTGTTCTTGTTATCCTAGTCATTGCCTATGTTGTTGCTTGTGCTGCTTTTAGGAACAACAGAAGGATGGATAACGACGAACCTTACGGAGAAACCCGAATGGAAAAATCCCGACCTAGTTGGATACGCTTCTAGTTGCTCTCGGAGGGAGGGATTCGAGTGTTTCTCTTTGCTCGGTTTTTTGCTTTAGATTTTCTGTAAGTGTGTGTCTTTTAGACGGAAGATAGTTCATGTTGGTGGAGGGTCGGTTGTACGTACATATATTATTTGCATATCTTTTTGTAATATATCATATCTTTTGGAAAAATTAAAGTTATCGCTGTTGTTATCTTTTGGAAAAATTAAAGTATAGTTTTGAATATATATATATATATATATATATATCCTGAATATCCAACCCGTTATGCGAGCCCACTAATTTCAGGGCGATCATCTGCTTTGCAGATAGCCCGAAGTCACCGTATTTGAACCTCCGTGGCCACAAGGGGATTTTTATTTCTCTTTGTATTTGAATCTGGGACCTCCTAATACTTTTGACATTTGGAATCAAACTCAAACCAATCAAACATCACCCTTATGGTTAGTTTTGAATATTTAGGGGCACTTGGAATTGATTATTTAAATTGCTTATTAATTTATTCCATTTTATTTCGGGTAATAAAGGGTTTATAGTGTTTGGATGGAAAAAAAATATTTATACCAGTTTGGCATGGGTAAATATATTAAGAACCGGTAATCTTATTCAATAAGAAACATAATAAATATTGGAAAATTTCCTGGAAAAAAACTTTTATTTAATTAGCACTTATAAGATAACAAATCAACTTTAATGGCCAATATTGTTCTCCAATAAGATAAATAAAAATGGTGATTATTATCGATAAACATTTTGGTAAGGATGGTGATTTGTTCCGACCCAATGGGAAACCGACTCACCCGACCCGAACGGGGGACGGGGTTTCCTTGCTGAAACGGATCTTGGGGCCGGGGATCCCCGGTAGACTCAAACCGGGGTTGGGGCCGGGGTCGGGTATTGTACCCCCGACCCGCCTCGTATCCGGTAATACTAATATTCATTTAATAAGTATTTGAGCTTTGGAAATTCTGACAGTGGACCTCTGTTGTTTTTGGACTTCAAGAGTATTTGAATTAGGAAATATGGGGCTGGACCGGGTTGGGGAACGGGTCTTGAGTCGAGGAGCGGGATCGAGGTTTGACTAGGTTTTGACCGGAGACGAGATGTTAATCCCCGTACCCGTCGATGACCGGGGCTGGGACTACAAAATCCGCCCCGTCACCATACCTACATTTTTTTATTAACCTGGATATCCAACCCATTATGCGAGCTGACTAATCCCAAGACGACCACCTGCTTTGCAGATAGGCTAAAGTCAACATATTTAAACCTCTGTGGCCACAAGAAAATGTTTATTCCTCCTTAAATTTGAACCTGCAACTTTCTAGTACTTTTAACCGCAAATCAATCCCTAACTTTTTATAATAAAATTTATCATTTTGGTTATCCAAGAAAAAGATGCTACCAAACAGCCCGGAAATAATGAATTTGGAAACCCTAGTCCAAACAGCCCGTAAATGAAAGGTAAATTGGCATTTGGGAGTTTCATAGTTCAAGGCTACTACAACTCGTCGTCTATTCGATTTCAGAGAGAAAACACTACAGAGAAAGATGAGCGGTGTAGGAAAGAAGGTGGCGGATGTCGCATTCAAGGCATCAAAATCGATCGATTGGGATGGGATGGCCAAGATGATCGTCACCGATGAGGCTCGTAAGGAGTTCTCCTCACTCCGTCGTGCCTTCGAGGAAGTCAACTCAACTCTCCAGACCAAGTTTAGTCAGGTATCCGAATCAATCTCTCTAACCTATCTTATTTTTATGATTATGTATGTGTATGTGTGAATCTGTTGAAGTCTATGTGATTAACGATACGGATCTACATTTCTATCAGATAGTTAGGGTTCGTGTGAATCAATACATTCGGATTAATTTTGATGCTGAAATGATTTTTTATTTAATTTACATTGGTTTTATACACATTATGACCTATGGTTTTTACTTCATATCGGCCATTTTCGTTTATTTGTATGTATAAGACGACGTATTTGGACTTGATTCGCGATTATGTGATGCAGTTCCTAATATTGACAATTTTGTTGCATTGGACTCATGGGCTGTCAAGAGCAATTAATTTTTCATACGACCTTAAATAAGTGATATCCTGTTTAGATTGGAAGAAAAATGGTTGTTTTCGTAAGAAAATGGCCTTGACAAGAAGTGACCAGTTGGGTGAACGTGTATTGGTTCGTTACTTTTTGTGCCTGAACAGAAGGCAGTGCTTGTTGTCACTTGCTATTTGTCACCCACCAAGATAAGTTGGATTGCCCCAGTCCTAGTGAACCAACAAGCCTATAGACTGAACGGAAGGAAGAGTTCAAATGGTTGAAGACATTCCATCCCTCCATCGTGCATGCATATTAGTATGGTTTTCTGCTGCTATATTAGCAATGAATTGAACCTCAATAGACTTGGGTGAGTCTATGGTTGTAGACTTTCTGGTCAATTTTTCCTGTTTGGCTCTGTTTTTAGACTTATTCTTGTTGTTCTTCTACTCAATGAAGTCATGAACCCAATATTTGAAGGAATGTGGTGTTGTTATTTCTTTTACAAAATCAGATTTACCAAAAAACAAATACATTGTCTGTCAATGTTCGTGGTAAGTACATGTTCCATTCAAGTTAAGGCTAAAATAGATCAAACAATCACTAAAATTTGTGATTTTTTTACTTGAGTGTAAGCGAAATCTGATATCAGTCACATACTTAGATTCTTATACATCACACTCATCTCAACGCATCCTCCCCATCCAATTGAGGTGAGGTCTCATAAATCTTAGTGCCTATATGCTCCTGTTAACAAGCAATGACCTCATTTTAATTAATTCACTCAATAGATTCTCTCAATCTTGGCTTTAGTTTAATATCTTGGATCGCAATTGGATTGAGAAGATGCAATTGATATGGTTGTTTGAGAATTTAGGTATGAAATTGATGAATTTGTTCCTTGAGATATGCAAGGAAAAACCATAGACCTATTGAAGTTCACTAGCCATTTGATCTGTTTTGCTGAAATTTAATTCATAACTCACCCTTGTGGTAGGATGCTACCTGACTGTTTTGTGTTTGTTTGTGTGATTCTACTGTTGGCTTCTCAATCAGAACTTGAAATTCTTACTGTTTGCATCTCAATCAGACATATGAGATTCTATGGGAGGCATGTGAAAGAGATTATTATCTTTATGATCAACATTATTACATTTCAATCTAAATGATTTTTCTTATTCTGTAATGCAGGAACCAGAACCTATTGATTGGGAGTACTACAGAAAAGGACTTGGATCTCGCATTGTTGATTCTTACAAAGAATATTATGAAAGTATGTCTTGTTCTATCAACATCCCAATATGTACATTCTTTTGCATAGATCATGTTAGGCAACAGTTTCACTCATTAATAACAGAGTGAATTTTATGATATAGCTTTTTGACCAGAATCTCATATAGGCATTGCACCCCATTTGAGTTCCTCTTATGAGGCTATCAAGAGATCTAGTCTTGTTTGTGAAATGGATTTTACATGAATGATGGTTCCTTGGTTGTTTCCTTTAGTTTATTTGCATACCTTCACATTTATAATTATCAAAATAGCGAAAAAGTATGCGTATATCCTGTAGGTATCATGTACTTGAGTAACTAACCTTCTGACTACAAGTGACAGATCATGTAATTAGGAGAACATAGTCATGATTTTTGGATTTGTTACTTATGAAAATGGGGAGAAGTATATTGCAATCTTTCTTGTATCGTTTCTTTCCTTTCGACGGTCATTTTTAATTGATGTAGGCACTGAACTATGCATTATAGATTTATGTGCATTACATGATGATTCAGGGTTTATCAGTTAAAATGCTAACTATGACATGTTTCTGTTTAGACCATATTTTATGCATTCTAAGTGAAAACTTTATAAACAATAGAGTGGGACCTTATGAATTAAACATCAGGTTTTTTAAATCACATCTTTCTAATAAATTGCAATTATATTAAATAAATGTGACCCGGTATTTCTTTCCTGTTTCTTTAATAAAATATAGTCTTTATAAATGTTTGAACAGGCCTCAAATTAGTCCCTGACGAATTGTAAAAAAATGTATATAAAGGTTTTGTTGAGTTTGCTGAGAGAAGTGAATCTCGACAAAACATTCTACCCAGAAATACTCCACTAACTGATACTCATAGGCACTGCTTCTGTTAATCAGGGTGCTTTTTTTCTTATCTTTCTTGTTAGAAATCGACTTCATCAATACAGTGCTGAAACATCTATCACTAGGAACCTGGAAGAGACATGCTAGGAGAACTATGTAAAATCTTGCCAAGAGTAATATTAGTTTTTATGCTCGGCAGCCATCCCTGGACGACACTTTACTTTTATGTTCTTTAATAAAACTAATTGTCATTCTTAAAGGCATGTTGAAAATGATCAAATGAATAGAATATTAGAATCGTTCAACTTCAAAGGACATGTATGATTCTGAGGCTTAGAGCCTATGACCTTTTATTTTGTAGAACTAGTTTTCTAATGGTGAAACATAGCACCGAGTTGCCAATTAGGCAGACTATAATAATTTTGGAGTAATAGAAAATGGTCATTTTATGATCTCGTTATATCATAAATGATGTTCAGGATGGTTAAATGCTACGTAACGACAGCTTAATACTCATGGTAAATTAAAAGAGAACTTGGTAATCACCAATTATCCATGTTTATGTGAAGCTGAAGAACCCAAATGATAGTATGTATACCAATAAACATGCTGTCCAATTCTGATACTAATGCAATCTTGGAAGGTTAGTATCATATGTATGCTTCAAAGGATGTGATGACTGACGATTAGGAAATCAAAATGTTAGAATATATATGTACAGTTTTTTGCAAGCAGTGTAGAGCTGCTGTTGAATTTCTGATCCTAAAATGATTTGGTACTTGTGTTTTACATTCATGACCTCTAAGACAGTTGTGTTGAATTTCTCTTTACAGGTGTTGAAATCCCCAAGTTTGTTGATAAGACGACCGCAGAGTACAAACCCAAGTTTGATGCATTGGTCAGAAATCAAACTTTACACAGTACTAAAATTCTGTTTTTCCCTGTTTTCTGGTAACCGGTTATTTGGAATGAGAAACTAATTGATGTACTAACTCGTTTCTTGCTTTACGTAATCACGTCCAAAACTCTTGTGGCTAAATGTTGTACTTTTTGTCTCACATCTTACCATTTCTGGCATCTGGACTAAATCACATATATGTATATATAGGATCAGGTTCATTTGAGAACCACAAAAACTTTGAGCACCGAAGAACTTGTATATTCATTGATGCATATATACTATCAAAATATGTATTCCGTCAATGAATATATTCATATCTACTATGCATTGATGCATATGCTCACTAAAATTCGTTAGTGTTGCATCAATGACAAGTTCTTCGGTTCTCAAATTTTTTGTGGTTCTCACATGAACCGCCCCCTATATATATGTAATATGTTGACAAAAGAAATGGGCATCCATATTTTTTGCTGGAAAAGATGAAAAGGTCTAGTAAAACTTATTTGGGCAACAAAATTGTTAATTATACAGGCAGTATTAGATTAGAATGTGAATTATAATAGTGCTTAGCTTACGCGATCTATAATGTTACCAACTTATTTATTTTTGTAATTTTGAAACCACAGTTGGTGGAACTGAAAGAGGCAGAGCAGAAATCCCTCAAGGAATCTGAAAGACTAGAGAAAGAAATTGCTGAAGTCCAAGAGCTGAAGGTAACAATGATACTGCCCAATTTCCAGTCATCATCCCCTTTCAAGTCTCGAAACTTTATCATATCTGTCTTTCTATCTTTGCCACACTTTTCACAAGTCAAGGGTCTTCACGGAACAGCCGCTTAGAGATGCTCAAAAAGCCCAAGCCTGAGGCCCGGCCTGAAAAAGCCTGGGCCTAGTGACCCTGGTCCAGTTCAGGCCTTAAAGCCCAATCAGGCCAAGTATTGGCTGCAGGCCTGGTCCGGTCCAGGCCGAGCCTTTTTTATTGCTCACAGAAAATGGGCTTGGAAGGCCTGGGCCTTGTGCATCTAGGGGCTGTTTGGTTGGTTTTCCATGAAGTACTGTAAGGATAAAGTTGTCTGTGTGAATTAATCTGTCTATATGGATAAAAAATGTTTTTGTTTGGGATGATTTTTCCATAGATGGACCAAGCGTTTTTCTAATTGGAAGGGGCATGTTTAAAAAAAAACTTGGCTTTCTACATAAAACTTCCCCCTAGAAACTTACTGAATAAGTCACTTCTTCTATGTCATTAAGCGACTTCCAAAAAGTCATGTATAGCGGAGCGAATAAGACGCAAGTCACTTTCCATTCAGGTCTTGTCTTAGTTGGTATGCAATTAATCGCTTTTTTATAACAGACGAAGCTAAGCACCATGACCGCTGATGAGTACTTTGAGAAGCACCCAGAGTTGAAAAAGAAATTTGACGATGAAATCAGAAACGATTACTGGGGCTATTGATTGACTTCCGTTGAATCCAATCCTTTTTGTTTTAGCATATAGAAATAAAGCAAGAGGAACAAAGATGCTGTCGTTTTTATTTGTTCGGTGAAAATTATCGTGGAGCTACGCTCCATCATGATGACGAAAATTTATCCAGACACGATTCGAGAGTGACAGGATATGTTGTCATGTTGAATTCAATCTTTAAATTAACAAAAGCTTTTGTTGTTTGTTTTGTTTAGATAGCCTTTGGATCTTATTACTTGTTTGATGATATCGGTTTTGGTGTGCTGTTTCACGAAGTGTGTTAACGGGGCAAGCCAATGTTGAGGTTAGTTGTGCGATTAAGTATTTGTATGTTATCGTACAACAAATCCTCATTACGAGAAACGTAAAAAGTGGTGAAAAGTACTCTTATATTGTATCAATGTTATGTTATATTTTGTGAAGACGGTGAAGGCGACAGAGCTAACGAAGAAGACGGTCGGTCACCTTTACATGTATCATGTGAATGTTAAAGGAAGATTCTGGTAGTTCTTATAAGAACCCATTTTGTGGTCCAATTTATAATATAAGTTGAATAAATAAATACATATTAATTATTATATTGGATAAAAAAATAAAAAAAATATATAAAAAAAGTCAAAAAACTAGTAAATTGTCGCTCTACGCCAACTTCAAGGTATGAACCCAAGGTTTTTGTACAAGAATTTAAAGAGAGCGAGATTCTTATAAGAAATATCTACAACTATATTTTTTACTAGAAAGAACCTTGCAATAAATATGCTCGCATATTTCTTACACTTCTCATAAATATAGATTTTTGACGTGAACCCAACCCATCTTAAAATCGCCTAGAATTTGGGTAAAATACAGGTTTTGCAAAGATGCGGTTGGCATTGAAATAATGTTGCATTGGACTTCACATTTATATTGCATGATCAAACCGAAAGAAAGTCTGTTGTACCAAAATCCTTCGTCCCTTATTCACCAATCAAGTAAATACATATCATCAGAAGATGAATTAAATAAATATGTTAAATAAAATAGTATTTTTATTCCATCAAACCATATCCATTCCTTTGTAAACCAAAATTATGGGTGATTAAACACATCTTTTTTTCATAATCACGAGTAATTTAGGGGTTGTCTGGTTGGTTATATGAATAAAGTTATATTAATATATTAATTTGTCTGTATAGATTAAAAAAAATTTAGTTTGAAAGGATGGTTTCAAAGATAAAGATAGCATGTTTTTGGGAAAGAAATTGGTTTGCTACTCTCAAAATCATTAAACCACCACCAAAAAGTGATGTATAATTGATTGAATTATGTTTTAAGTTTCATTAAGCTCATTAATATGCTAACAAACAGACCCTTAGCAGGATTTTGAAAAACATCTAAACACTTTCAAATGTGTCCAGTTCTAGAAAAAGGTAACATCACCCTTCAAAGGATCTCCATCTCCTTTCACAAAATGCATTTAGAGCAAGCAAAATTGGAACAAAATCCCAATAAAACCCTTAGAATGAACAATGAAGTATTGAGAGTTTGAAATACAACAGTGAAATCAAACATATCTCAAAGAAAGATGATTGCTAAATATAACCAAAACTTGATGAAATCCAAGCATTTAAATCTTGTTGAAGGCCACAATGTCACAGCTCTGCACATATTCGTTGATCGGCTCAACGGTAAGACGCTCCTCGATCAGGTCATCAACCGAAACAAGGTCATCAACGATGGTCAACATGATCGTCATCTTCTTGATCCCGTAACCAACTGGAACAAGCTTTGCTGTAAATCCAACCACAACAGCATCAATAACATTATCCATTATTAATGTCTTCCTTTATACTTTTGCCACATCCCAAAACAACAATCCACTTTTGAGTTATAAAATTATTCAAGTTTAGTCAGTTTTCCCACTCTTTCAAAACTAAAAAGTCAAATGTTGACCTTTTCGAGAGGGAGAGTAAACCAAACCATCCCAGTACATCCCACCCGTGGGTGGGGTGTTGGGGAGTGGGGATGTACACAAGTCTCACATTTACCCTAAAGAGTAAAACAATAGTTTTTTTTCGGGAGGGAGGGTGAAACACTTGTATCAGAGTACATGATGCTTGGATGTGTGGCCCTAAGTTAAAACCGACTTCGGGCCTGTTTGTTAGCAGCTTAATGTATAATGAGGCTCACAACTTATTTGGTCAATACATGACTGTTTGGTCGTGGCTTAATGATATAGGAAATGGCTCATTCAGTAAGCTTCTAGGAGGGTGCTTTATGTAGAAAGCCAAGTTTTTTCCAAACCTAGAAGAATTAATCAATCCACACAGACAACTTTATCCATATAGGACTTGATGGAAAACCAAATAAACAACCCTTTGTTACTTCCAATTGAACCATGAGTAAATCCAGGATTACCACCAATGCTACATCTTATGCGTTTTTTCCATTATATAAAAAGACTCTGGTGAGTTATGACGGTATATTGGTGGTACCTATAAATTTGCCGCATGCATGTATCAAAAAAGAGAAATGTTTGAAATCTGAATAAATTTTTTGACTGAGATGATTTTTCGACTCTTTGAAATAAGAGACAACTTTGAAATTCACCTCCAAAATTGTGTAGCTTTAAAACATAAAATGAAAATTGGAGTTAATTGTAGGAGAGAGGGGAGGTGGTGTAGTTAAAGTAACAGTTGATGTTTCCATTTATAGCAATGAATATCAAATTAAAATAGCAAACCATACATGCTCCCCACAGAAGTCCTGGAATCTCGACACTGCGAACAGCTTCCTCTAGCTTCTTCATGTCAGTTTCATCATCCCATGGCTTTACATCCATAAGAACCGACGATTTCCCACCTAAACAAAGTTTTTATACACGGTGTTATACAACTGACAAAAAACAATTACTTGTATACCAAAAGAGCAGATAATTCTTTGGTATGCCATTTTTGAAGAAAATGGATCACAAAAAAACAGGCACCACATAATGTCAAGCAAAACAAGTTAACACACAGAAAAATCCAACAAACTCACTCTCTTTCTTCTTTGTTGACGCTTTTGCTTGATCTCTTGCTTCAGCTGCCTTCTTTTCCTCTTCTGTCTCGTCGCCAAAGAGATCAAGGTCGTCGTCGTCATCATCAGCTGCGGCTGCAGCTGCAGGTTCCTGAAATACCCACCAACCAATTCAGTAAGTTAAAAGACATAGAAAAGATGATACAGCAGAATGCGGATGCATAAGTTCTGTTTTGCAAGTTAATACCAAGAACTTAATAGAAGGGCCAACCCCACCAGTTAGAGTCTGCTCTGAAAACAATATGAGAAGAATTCATCCACTCATTTGAATTCAGAAGCAAACATTCTATTCTAACAAGCTGTTGATTTGATCCTGGACCATGCTAGTATTAACAATTATTTTGGGCACATATATTTCGAGTCTTTTAGAGGTGATAGTTTGAAGTAAAAGAACAAAAAAATAACTTTCAAATAACATGAAAAAAGTCAGAGTTTAACTTATTGAGGCACTGTGTTTCTTCTTACTCCAAAATCAATTAAATAATAAATATCACAACTAACACCGTCAAAGCATACTTCCTGCACAGAGGATCACCGTCATTTCAGGTCCATGAAAGCTACCAGAAACTGGTTATCTATCAGGTTCTTATTTTTTCAATGATTTTTCTAAAATCAATCCAAAAAACACCGTTTGTAAACTGATTGCAGGTCTAGAAATATAAAACATGTAATCTGTCGTTAAGCAAAGCTTAACACAAAACAGCACGTTTATAGCAAGGCAAGTCCTCAGCAGCACTTGGTCACATAGAAGCAGTTTCAATGGTGTGCCTAGAAAGAGTCGAGGCATCACTTTCATTAAAAAAGGTTCACGACACAAAAGAAAACCGTCCAAATAACCTATAGACCATCAAAAGCATGCATACTGGGTTCATGGGGGATAATACAGGATGAATTCAGCAATCCACCGACAAAAAAGATCAATCATGATAAAATGTGATACACACCTTGGCAGCTTCCTTGACAGGAGCAGCTTCCGCTGATGTAGCTTGGACTGCGATACTCACTCCAACAGCTTGACCAGGGAAACTGCATAATTCAATTGTATAAGGTAAGTAACACATATAACTTATAAGTCAAAAAAAGAAACCAAATGAATGAGCCCAATATATCCCACCCAGCGGTGAAAAAAGCCGATCATCTCAAGGAAAATAATCTCTCTATAGATAAGCACAAGCACAACTCCTGTTTCAATCCTATGAAGGCATAAAGTAATACCCCCAATTAACTGTGGAATTGCCAGTCAAATTAAACTATCAACATATAATTGTTTATCGATAAGATCATTTAGATCACAAGTTTACCATCGAGTTACAATGCTGAATGCCTAAATTATCATTTAAACACGAACAGCAGTAGAAAAAAGCATACAAAAGGCATATAATACTGAAGTAAAAGATGGATCTCAAACAGACCTTGATGCAAGCTTCGAAGCAACACACCCGTACCACTTACTAGCAGTGGGGTAGAGATCAGCACTAGGTTGATCCAAAACAGCGGCGTAAACCTTCACATCATCCTTAGTGATTTGATCCCTGAATTATTCAAATTGAAACCAACAATGATACAAACGTCAGTGTAAAAAACGAATGTACAAGGAATTGAGAAATGATATAATACGGACCCAGAGATGTAAGTTTTTCCGGAGAGAAAAGCTTCAAGTGATTTAAGGCCAGCTTCGGTGTGCAGATCGGAGAAAGTAACAGCCATCTCTATAGATTTTGTAGGTGGAGATCGGAGATGGTCGGAATGAGGAAGATGACGGCAAAGAGGAGTGGATGAGAGGGGTTAGCAGGGAGAATTTATAGGCAAAAACCCTAGATCCACCCAAAGCATAATTCCTTTACTAGTTTACCGCACAATAAAGCGGGAGTCATAAATTTTAATCATTTTGAAATTTCATTGGTTTTATAAAATAATATTTAATAATGGTATATGTTATACTTGGTCTTTATATATTAATACAATTTAAATAAATAAGAGTTATGATTTCAATTACTATCGATAAAAAAAATGTATGACAATTTAAAATCCAATATATTTAAAATCCAACATATTTAAACGACTCCACAAATGTATTCGATTTACACCAAGAGTAAAGAACCAAGAAACTTGAGTTTTAAGATAAACACTCAAAACCAATAAAGAAAACTACAAATTTGATAGATCATAAGTCATGAAAAGACAAAAAAAAAATGTGTTTTAG